TGAACTGCAGATAACAGTCAGCTGAAGTGGCCTGCAGTACTGCACCCTAACCACTGCGCCACCTCGGCTCCTTCTTTGCTTGTAGAAACCATCTGGGGAGGTCACAAATGGTGACCCCATGACTTTTGGATCTGCATCCAATGTAAATACATGATGATTGCCAAATGCCTGAATTCTGACTACATGACCATGGTTGTAACTTCAAACAAATAGTTGTAACTCAAGGATTACCTGTAACGTTAAGCCAAGTAATTCCTGCAAAACCTGAAATCTGAAGGACCTTCTGGGGTGTCCTAATTTCTTTCACTCTTTTCTCCTGCAGGGGGCGCTACCCTTTGATGATGACAATCTACGGCAGCTTTTGGAAAAAGTGAAACGTGGGATTTTTCACATGCCCCATTTCATTCCGCCAGACTGTCAGAATCTCCTGCGGGGCATGATTGAGGTGGAGCCAGAGAAACGTCTCAGTGTGAGTCATCCTGTCGTTCCCAAGACTGGGAGGAATGGAGGGAGGAGCAGGCTTGGATGGTGAAGTGGAGCAGGATGGAGGGCTCTGGGTAGCACCGATCAGATTGCAAGCAGGAGTCCCCAACACCACCACCCGGAGATAGGCTACTCTTGAATTTATATTTAAATAGGATAGCAGTTGTCATAAATTTCTATGAAATAATGGGAATAGAATAGAATAGAGCAGAGCAGAATACAACAGAATAGAATAGTTCTTTATTGGCCAAGTGTGACTAGACACACAAGGAATTTGAGAAGGTTTGAGTTAGAATTCTTCCCTGATATGGTCGATTTTTATATGATCTATTTGGATGGAAATTTAATTAGGATCTGATTGAAACAGTTGAACGTAGGTAGTATTGTTCTATTTTGAGACTCAGTTAATGTTTTATGTTTATTTTAATATACTGAATATCTGGAGATAAGGGCATCTTATTATTAACACATGTTTTAATGGTGAGTGATAGTGATGGATACAGCAGTCGTGGTTTGTAACTTTACATTTAATCTTTGCAAAAAGAGTCTAATGTTGGTTTATTTTTCTCCATGTGGTGGTTTCAGCTGGAACAGATTCAGAAACACCCATGGTTCTTGTGAGTATTTCCAGACTGTCTTTGATTTCCAGCTGATCCTCTTTTCCCTTGTTTGTCAAGATCTCAATATAGAACAAGATCTCAGTATTTTTGGCCTTCACTTACCAGAGGTGACGGAAAGTCTCTTAGAGAAACAAAGATACGAGCAGAAATCCCAACATCCCACTCTACCACTGTCATTGTTGTCTAGATCAGGGGTCTCCAATATTGGCAACTTTAAGACTTGTGGACTTCAGCTCCCAGAATTCACACATGGAGAATTTGGGCATTGTTCAGCATTAAAAACCACAGGTTTTTTTTTTAAAAAAAACCTATTTAACCCTACCTCCCCACTCTGTGGCAAAATTAGAATCAAACAAGTTACTTGATTGCCTCCAAATGACAGAACTATGCCTTCAAGGCCTTGCAGAAATGAAACAGGTTGCGAGCCAATCCTATCTCTAGGGAAATAATGTTCCAGAGGGAGGGAGCCACCACAGAGAAGGCCCTTTTCTTAAGTCCTATCAGGTGTAATTCCTTAATAGTTGGGATCCATAACATGTTCTGCCTTTCTCCTTTGGTGGGCTGGATAGTTGTAAGACTGGGTAAATGGCAAGAAGGATATATCCTATTTCCAAATCTTTATGAACTTGGTGTTGAGAAATCTACCAACTGTTTTCACTTCCCTGAAAATGAGGGAANCTGAAAGCCCTATGAAGCGGTATATAAGTCTAACTACTATTGCTATTGCTATATTGTGCTGTCTTTCCAATGTGCTTCCTGGCCACTGAAAATGGAATTTGCAAACATTTTAAGGGTTGGCTAATCTCTAAGGCTGTTCTGGGAATGGCAATGCACCTTTAAGGTAAAGATTACCCAAAGTCAGTTCTTGCTAACTACAGGGACACATCCATATAGCATTTTTGGCAACAGTATGGAAACCTTCTACCATCGTCTTCTCCAGCTTTTCAGATTACTTTGCAACTTTAGGATTTTCTGGTGTCTTCCATCTAAGTCCTAATCAGGTTCGATTCTACTTAGCTTTGAGGTACCTGCTGGATACTGCCTTTAGTTGCACCCATGCATCTCTTAAAAATAATGAAGTTCCATACCTGGTTGCTTCCTGGTTTTATTTATGTTGCTTCCATGGCAACAATGTGGAAGTATGCAGTCTTTGGTGCCCTGTAAGCATGGTTGTTTGCTTGACGGTGCCACTTAGACAAGTTATGAAACATCTGCGAACAATCAACCTCAGAGAGCATTTAAGATTCCACGGTTCAGCCCCAGATTTCTGTGGATAACGTTTTAATTAAGTGAACGCTGTCCCACTTTACAACCTTTCTTGCAAGAGCTGTTAAGTGAAACGCTGCAGTTGTTAGGTTAGTGGCACGGTTGTTAAGTGAATCTGGCTTCCCCATTAACTCTGCTTGTCGGAAGGATGCAAAGGGCCACTGCAACCATCATAAATATGAGTCGGTTGCCAAGCGCCTGAATTTTGATCACATAACGATGTTGCAACGGTGGTAAATGTGAAAAACGGTCATAAGTCCCCTTTTTCAGTGCTGGGTAACTATGTACCGTACGTTGAGGACTATCTGTAGCTTGTTACTGCTTTCTTTCAATACTTTTTTGATTCCTNGACCCTGATGTGTTGGATAGCATGCACTCGTTGGGATGTTTCCGTGATAAGAACAAGCTAAAACAGGAACTGCAAAATGAAGGGTGAGGAACTGGAGTGCATGGTTGAATGGGGCCATAAGAAACTTCCTTAAGCTTTGCTTCTTATATCTTTGAATCCCGAGTACAGGTCTCCTGTGTGAGCAGAGGGTTGGACTAGATGATCTCCAAAGTCCCTTCCAACTCTGTTACTGTTTTCTGAGGAGATGCAGTGTTCCAAATCCTTTCCATGAGATTTTAAAAAGATGATTTGTAGTCTTATTGGAGGAACTGTCTATGGGGATTCTCAATCATCCAGGTCATGGTTGTCCCAAGGATGTTTTTTTTTTCAAAGGAACAACTGGCCGTTGTTTTTCCTTGAAGATGTTTCGCTTCTCATCCAAGAAGCTTCTTTGGTTCAGTTCAGTTTTTTTTTAAAAAAAAAGTCCAGTTGCCTTTTGAAAAAAAAGCATGTTTGGGATATTGAAGGAACTGTGATTCTGTAGAGAAGCTGGATAATCGTCTCACCATTTTAGTTCCCATGATTGAAAAAAAAACTTGCAGTGCAGTTAGGATGGATGCATTATAAGAGAAGGTGTCTTATGAAGGAGGAAATAGAACTGCTGTTTCATTTGTGATGGATATGTAGACAGAAGGCAGGAAAGATGGGAGAAGAGGCTAGTTAGGAAACATATGCAAATAGTTGGAGAGAAAAAATGGACTGTTGTCTTTTTTATAGTCAGGCAATAAACCCATTTTTATTCTAAGCGTAAGCCCTCATTTTTCCTTTCTCCATGTCAGAGAAAATCAGGAGAAAATGATTTATTACCTTCTGCTTGACCGCAAAGAGAGATACCCCAGCTGTGAGGATGAGGACCTGCCTCCACGCAATGATGTTGGTGAGATTTTGGGGGAATTTTTTTCTAAGCACTTCATCAGGACCACAAAAACAGAGCAATGGTGCTTATGATTTAAGGCACCTTGGCTACTTGAAGGCAGGTGGGCTTGAAGACAGGTGGGCCTTAGATGGACTTCAACTCCCAGAATTCTGGGCGTTAAGGTCTACCTGTCTTCAAGTGACCAAGTGTTGAGAAACACTGACTCAAGGGATGATAAGCATTTCCAAGTTTTATTCTTCCCTCAATATTTCATCTGTATGAAGAGAGACGAGAGGGAAGGAGAGGGAAAGAAGAAAGAGGAAAGGAGAGGAAGATTGGGAGAGATAGGAAGAGGAGGAGAAAGGGCATGAAGGGGAAGAGGTAGAAAAGAGTAGGGGAGAGGAAGGAAAAAAGAAAGTAGAGAAGGGAGGGAGGGAGAAAAGGAAAGGAAAGGAAAGTAGGGTGGCTGCAAAATAACATAGGTGTATGGGATGGTAAGCAAAGCAATCCCTATCATAAATTTTAATTTTTTATATGGAAAAATGAATGCTTAAAAGTGTTAAAATGTGATAAGAATAATAACTATGAGAATGTATACTTGTAAATGTGTGTATGAGACTACAAAATAAAAAAAATCCTTTTACAAAATAAAAATATTTCATCTGACTGATATGGAGGAAACAAGAATTATGATACCAGCAGGTAAATTCATGTCAACATACCTTTGGTTTAAAGCTCTAGTGTTTGTAGACATCTTCTGCCCATATACAGGTAGTCTTCAATTTACAACCATTCGTTTAGTGACTGTCTGGAGCTACAACCGCACTGAAAAAAGTGACTCATAATCTGTCCTTCAACTTAAAATCATTGCAACATCCCCACAGTCATGTGATCAAAATTCAGACACTTGGTAACCTGTGTCCATTTCCAACAGTTAGCAGTGTCTTGGGCAGTTACCATTTGTGAATATGGATCCAGTTAGGATATTTAAAATGGGTAGATTTAACTTAGATTTTTTTAATCAATTAGGAGAAGATCACTACCTGTGCTTGTACAACAGAACCTAGGTGGGTTCAAGGGAGTTGATTTGATCTACAGATAAAATCACTTTGAACTCAGTCTCCAAACTCAAAATTTCCAGAGTTCTAGTATCTCATCTTCATTCCCAAATTCTCTTCTCTTGCTCTTTCAAAACAATGGCAGAGCATCTATGGGTGGATAAATGGGTGGTTCGTTTGGAGGTAGCCCCCTCTCCTATGGCACACCATGGGAAGTGCACAAGCGTGGATCAAACAGAACTAGGTTAGGTTTACTAGGTTTATTGGATTTATATGCCGCCCTTCTCCCAAGGACTGAGGGCGGCGTACAACATAAAATAAAACACATATAGGGTTTTCTATAGTGAACAGGCAGCCAAACTACAGATAGTTCTTGACTTACGACCGCAATTGAGCCCAGAATTTATGTTCCTAAGTGTGTTGATATCCCAAATATGTTTTTTTTTTCAAAAGGCAACTGGACTTTGGTTTTTTTTTTTTTTTTT